AGGTTTTGCGGGTTTTCTCAAACTGAGAGTTAATGCGAGTCATCATTCCTAAGCACGAGATATAACTCAATCGACTCAACACTTGACTCACGCCAACCCTTTCCATCTTAAACCGCTTTAAAGTCCAATTCCCCGTTGCGATCGCATTAATCAATCCATTGGTGATGAGGTCTTGTCTCATATGCTTTACGATATCAAACTGAGACACTTTGATCTTCGGAATGTTCTTATCGGCAATTGTCTGCCATTAAGAAAGCATTTCATTCGTTATATGAAAACAATTTTCAAAATAATTTCATTAAAAAAATACCCGAAGTTCTGAATTGAATCGCTTGAGGAGGTCTTCGAAGAGAATGGCGATCAGAGAACCGGCTAATTCTAGACGTTTGTTGCCGTAATAGTCGCGGTCATCGATAAAAGACGGGTCACTTAAGGCACAAATTAAGCGCTTCACCATTTGAGCCAAATATATAGCTTTAAGTCTAAAATTAAAGTCTTTGACAGGAATGTGGGCCACAATAGTGGTGGCCAACAGTTCCCTCACGATCTCGACGGCGGGTTTCCTCCTTTCGGTATTCCATTCGGGTTTTCCAAAGAACTGTGTCTTTGACTTCAATTTGTTGGCCATATATTTAAGCGCCAAATCAGAGGTCCATATCTGGGACTTATGGCACACCTCTATGGATGGGATGAGAAGACTGGGATCAATGCCATCGGTGGCCGAAGTGGTGCCACAAATCAATTCGACAATTTCTGATTCGCTCTCAAAACCAATTGCTTTAAAGACAATAAAAATAGGAATTCCTTCGTCTAAGAAGGAGTTGTGTTTCATAACTATTTGTCCCTTTTTGTTGATAATTAAGTTGGTTCTGGACTTGCGTTCGGCTGTAGTACTCGTCACCTGACATATGGGTCCCTCTTCTATAAGGATCCGGTTTCTGGAGAGCTGTTCGTGAATGAGAATCACTTTCTCGGATCCATTGATCACGAAATAACCGCCCGGATCGTAGGGNGAAACACATGTTTGTCTGCAAATGTGATTCATTTGATTTGTGGTTATTATCACTTTCTGGATGTGATTAACAGGACATCAAAATGAGTGAAAGCCCAGGAGTGGCGCCAATTAAGGCAATTGAAGACAAGTGGAAACTATTGCCTGCCTTTCTGGAGGTTCGGGGTCTTATTAAGCAGCACTTGGACTCATTTAACCACTTCATCGCGAAGGAGATCAAGAGTGTGTTGCGGGCCAACCAACGGATCACCTGCGAGTCGGACGCCAACTGGTATGTCAAGTATCTGGACATCCGAGTCGGCAAACCAGAGATCGAGGAGGGCTTCAATGTTGTCCGCACGACCAGTCCTCACGAGTGCCGGCTTCGGGATATCACTTATTGTGCGCCCATTAATGTGGACATTGAGTACATGAGAGGACCGCAGAAAGTGATCCGCAATGACCACACCATCGGAAGAATGCCTCTAATGCTGAGGAGCGCTAACTGTGTCCTCAACAACAAGACATACAACGAGTTGGTGGCACTGAATGAGTGTCCCTACGATCCGGGCGGTTATTTCGTGATCAATGGATCCGAGAAAGTGATTCTCATTCACGAACAGCTCTCCAGAAACCGGATCCTTATAGAAGAGGGACCCATATGTCAGGTGACGAGTACTACAGCCGAACGCAAGTCCAGAACCAACTTAATTATCAACAAAAAGGGACAAATAGTTATGAAACACAACTCCTTCTTAGACGAAGGAATTCCTATTTTTATTGTCTTTAAAGCAATTGGTTTTGAGAGCGAATCAGAAATTGTCGAATTGATTTGTGGCACCACTTCGGCCACCGATGGCATTGATCCCAGTCTTCTCATCCCATCCATAGAGGTGTGCCATAAGTCCCAGATATGGACCTCTGATTTGGCGCTTAAATATATGGCCAACAAATTGAAGTCAAAGACACAGTTCTTTGGAAAACCCGAATGGAATACCGAAAGGAGGAAACCCGCCGTCGAGATCGTGAGGGAACTGTTGGCCACCACTATTGTGGCCCACATTCCTGTCAAAGACTTTAATTTTAGACTTAAAGCTATATATTTGGCTCAAATGGTGAAGCGCTTAATTTGTGCCATAAGTGACCCGTCTTTTATCGATGACCGCGACTATTACGGCAACAAACGTCTGGAATTAGCCGGTTCTCTGATCGCCATTCTCTTCGAAGACCTCCTCAAGCGATTTAATTCAGAACTTCGGGTATTTTTTTGATGAAATTATTTTGAAAATTGCTTTCATATAACGAATGAATGCTTTCTTAATGACAGACAATCGCCGATAAGAACATTCCGAAGATCAAAGTGTCTCAGTTTGATATCGTAAAGCATATGAGACAAGACCTCATCACCAATGGATTGATTAATGCGATCGCAACGGGGAACTGGACTTTAAAGCGGTTTAAGATGGAAAGGGTTGGCGTGAGTCAAGTGTTGAGTCGATTGAGTTATATCTCGTGCTTAGGAATGATGACTCGCATTAACTCTCAGTTTGAGAAAACCCGCAAAACCTCGGGTCCCCGCTCTCTGCAGGCCAGCCAATGGGGGCTCGTATGTCCGTGCGATACACCGGAAGGCGAGTCGTGTGGTCTGATCAAGAACTTGGCTCTAATGACACACATCACCACTGATGTGGACGAAGACGCCGTTATTCGCATTTGTCTCAACATAGGTCTCGTTCAGGACATTGTGTTGTGCTCTTCCGGTGCTTTGATTAACAAAAACTATTTAGTGTTTGTAAACGGACTCATAATTGGTGTCACTATTGATCCGCAAAGACTTGTCACAAGCCTTAGATCACTTCGAAGAAGCAATTTTATGTCTGAATTTGTGTCTATTTCTCTGAATCGACTTCATAGAGCAGTTTATATCGCCACCGATGGCGGTAGACTTTGCAGGCCTTATATTATAGTCAATACACGATTAGGTGTTCCCAAAGTGATGGCAAAACATATGGAAGCATTGAGTCGAGGAATTATGGGATTTGAAGATTTCATTCGCGAGGGTTTAGTTGAATACTTGGATGTGAATGAAGCCAGTGATACACACATCGCTCTTTATGAGACAAATATCAAGACCGGTGTTACCACTCACCTGGAGATTGAACCGTTCACTTTGCTGGGAGTGTGTGCCGGTGTTATCCCATATCCCCATTGCAATCAGTCTCCAAGAAATACATACCAGTGCGCTATGGGTAAGCAAGCGATGGGCACTATTGGTCTCAATCAAAGACAACGTATCGATACTCTAATGTATCTCTTGGCTTACCCTCAAAGACCTGTTGTTAAGACGAAACCCATAGAACTAATACATTACGACAAATTGCCTGCCGGTGCCAATGCAATGGTGGCCGTCATGTCGTACAGTGGCTT